TAATATATTCACTCTAAACATACAAACATACAACAAGTTGTATTCAGATATTCGAATTTTTCTCGTTTTTCTTTTCTTTCTTTCCCTTCTCTCTTCTTTTCTTTCCGTTCTCTCTTAAAACTACATAACATGATTAATATCGCGTGCGACTCGTCGAATATCGCGTGGTATCTAAAACGTGAAAGTAAGAGTAAAATTGACCTTTGTTATCTGTACGAAAAACTACCTATCAGGTCACCATTTCATTCATCCGAAGAGAAGAGATACTAATCAGGTGTACTCTCAGTCTAATTATTAATAGTTACACGTATTTTAATCGTCTATAACAACTGTCATAAATTCCAAAAGCACACCGAGATGTAGATAAATTCTTTCTCTATCGATGAAACCTCGAACAAGCAAACCGAGACAACTTGCTCGGAGCACTCGCGATCGTTAGAATTGCTGAAAACTTCTCCTTCTCTTTTTTTTCAAGTCTCGTGGTTGTTGCTCGTAGCATTTCATCGACACTACCTTTACGACGAAACTTTTTTTTTTTTTTCTTTTTTCTTTTATCTTTTATTGGCTCTATACATCCTCTTCGTTGTCTACGCTTCTGCGACAATCAATTTTTCACTTAATTACTAGTATATTAATCTCGGAGTAAACATCTTTGATTGTTCTTCCATCTCTTTCGACTTTGCTGAGAAATTAAACTCGAAAAAAGGAAACGGACAAAGTAAGAATAAGAGTAGATTTTCAGCAAGCAGTTGATTTCTTGATTTAGCTCATTAAGATAAAACACGATTTCAACGTCGATTCGCAAAATTATTTCTTACCGATATATTCGTAAATTATTCCTTGTCAATTTGATTCAACCAAAGATGTTTAATCATTTCACCTCTCGTATAGTCTTCGGAGATGCTTTTAGAATAAGCATATATAGTCGAGTAACTTCGAGATATCACGAGAGCAATTAACAATCCTTGCTCGCAATATCGCATTAAAATTTCATCGACAACTTTCCAACGCGTAGTTTCCAATTTTCTTTCTTTTTTTTTTTTTTTTTTTCTTCACACTTTCTGTGAGATTCATAGCTCGCGCGAGGAAATTAACAAAAATACATTTCTAATGTTTTGTACAACGTCGATATATTTTTAAATAAATATCTATGTAAATCGAATATACTAACAATGCAATATATTTCGTGGAATTGTTTATCAAGTGAGAACGTATGGCGTCTAATAATTCATCTCGAATATTTCCCGCTTAAAAATCGTTTTATAATAGTATAGTATATGTCATTTGTTCGCATAATCTTTTCTCTTCTTCTCTTTCTTTCAGCATTGGCACATGTTTTTTAGTCGAAAATTTCTTTCCTTCACGTACACATTTACACCACGCACACGCATAGTCTACGTCTATAATTTTTTGTTCTTTGTGGCTATTTGACTTTTTTTAATTAGTCCGGCAGTTATATATATTTGTAAAAGTACACATTTATTTATACTGTTATTGGACATCTTACTTCCAACATCCCTTTCTTTTTTTTTTTTTTTATTGTACTAACTATCGTAATATTTGTTTGAGAATATTTTTTTGGCGT